AAAAAAAAAAAAAGAGAGAGAGGGAGGGAGGGAGGGAGGGAGAGAGAGAGAAAGGGCCAGAGCTTGCTTACATGCAATTGTGATACAAATACTAAACTACCCACCATTTCTGCCTGCCTCACGGTCCGAGGGAAGCCATCAAGAAGGAAGCCATTTTTGCAGGAAGGAGTCTCCAAATTCTTCTCAATGAGCTCTACTACCATTTCATCACTAACCTGGAAGAACAAAACAACCTGTGCTTAAATCTGTTAACTAGGTGACTTTAGCCCAACTCCAGGGTCAAAAGTTTGGGTGTGAAACGACTTTATTACTAAGTGGCAAGTCTTCTACATCCCCAAGAAACATAAATGAGCAAATACAGAGTGGCTCCATTTGCAAGACCTAGTTTCATAATTATTTCTATACGGTAGCTGCCATATACAAATTTTTTCTGTGTTCTAATAACCTGGGTGAGATAAGAGGGATTCCACAGCCTGTCACCGCATCAAGAGAACTCCCATGTCTTAGGTTCTGAAGGTCTCTCATCACTCGAGCTGTCACTCAGATACCAGAGACCTAAATATCAGAGCTTATCAGCAATCAGTTGTCTTCAAGAAAGATGAGGGCACAAGGCTGACAGATCACCTGGGGAGATCCAAGACAGAATAGGGGTTGACCAGGATGCAGGAAGGCATCAACTATCCCAATTCACAATTTTGATTAGTCTAACAGAATTAAGACTACGACATGTGCTTGGTCACGTATCTGGGCCATCCTGGGCATGAAGCAACAGAGAAGCTTACTGAATTGGCAAGAGTGGGTCAGAAACAAGGAACCAAAGAATCAAGTCTCACTTCCGAGTCTCCAAAAAGCCCAGTGAAGACCTCGCCCCGTGTTTACAACTGTTTTTTCTCTTGAGTCTGTAGAAAGATGATGTCCCACCCTTTATTACAGTAAAGACTACCCATCTTCACTGCTAATGCTCTTATCTTTCAGGACCAGCTATGGACCTGGAACAAAGTATAGCTTTAAGACTAAGTGAAGGCCAGAGATAAGCAGTATCTTTTTTCTGACACAACCCAAAGCTCACAATATTTTAACTTTTTCTGGCTTGACTCAAGGCATCACTAACAAGAAAGAAAAGCTTGAAAGAAATGGTCAGGTGAGTGGTACTATTCAATGAAGCTACACTAACGCAAAGTCTAATAAGAGGTAACTTTGGGATGAAAGCAAAACTTATATGTTCCCCCACTACTATTCTCATATACAAAATGATAAGGAGACCAAAATGACTTCTGAAGGGGATTCCCAGAGGTCAAGTTCCAGAATAATTAAGGTCTGGCACTAATCAAAGATTTAATAGATAGTTGTATTTGTCCAGTCAGATTGCTTTGTCTAAAACCAAGAGAAAATGTTACTATGTCTCCCAAGTAGGATGATTACTTTGTTACAACTGCCAAGTAAGTACCTTGTTAAAGACATAGAACACAGACCCATGAAAGACAAAAAACATTTTGTGACCTTCTGAGTCTTTTCTTGAATACATCCCTGAGTTTTGGCCTGGGGATGGCAGTTTTTTGTTTTGTTTTGTTTTGTTTTGTTTTCTGGTGTCGGGGATGGAACTCAGGACCTCGTGCTTGCAAGGCTGGCGCTGTGCCACTGAGCTAAGTCCCTGGCCTCTATACACGCTAAAACTGGGGCATATTTTAAAAAGCATCAACATAAGAGAAACTTAAAGAATACTGAATAAATTGTCATAAATTCAGAACAAATCAAATAACTTGTTACTGTAAAAGTTAATACAATCTGCTAGTTTAGCACAGGGCTGTCCTGTAGAATGTTTTGTAATGATGGAGATGTTCTGTATTTTTATTGGCAAAATACCTGAAGTATAGCTAATGTAATGGGAAAACTAAGTTTTATTGTAAGTCCACATTATTTTTTTTCCACTGAGTTTATTGGTACATTTTAGGTATACAATACAGTTACATTCATCATTGGGATCTTGTACCTTTTTACATGATGTATCTTGCTTCTTATTTTTTCCCCTTACCCCTGCCCTCCCTTCACCCCCCCCACCTTCCCTATTTACAAAGACTTTGTTTCCACCTCCCCCCTTTTCTTTGGTACCAGGGATCGAACTCGGGTCCTTGTGCTTGCGAGGCAGGCGGCAGAAACGAACTAAATCCCTGGCCCTCTTTTCCCTTCTTTCCTTTCCCCTACCCTCCCATTTCTTCTACTCCTTTAGACCTTTTCTTTCTATTTCACATGATCAATTATACATTTTGATCCTTATTTACACTTTGTTTTTCACAGAGAAATAATTCAGTTTTTACACGTGTATCCTATTTATTTAAGAGCAAGGCCTCAATGTACATTCATTTAGCTACAAATGTCTTTAGTTCCTCGTTCTTTATGGCTGAGAAGTACTCTATTTTATAGGGCTGGGGACTTAGCTCAGTGGTGCTGCTGCCTGCATTGCAAGCATGGAAGTTCCCAAGTTCAATTCCAGGTACCAGAAAAAAAAAAAAGTACTCCATTTTATAAAACAAACAAACAAAAAAACCCCACACCTTTATCCAGTCTCCAGTTGATGGGTAACTGGGCTATTTCCAAGTTTTAGCTATCACAAACTGTGCCGCTATAAACATGGGTGCACATATATTGCTATGGTATGATGCTTTTAATTCTCTTGGAAAGAGACCAGCAGAGGGATAGCTGGGTCAAATGGGAACTCTAATCCTAGTTTTTTGAGGTATCTCCATATTGATCTCCACAGTGGTTGCACCACCCTATACTCCCACCAACAAATGGAGAAGGGTTCTTTTCTCCCCACAACCCCATCAGCATTTGTTATTGGTTGATTTCTTTTTCTTTTTTTTTGTGGTTTTTTGAGACAGGGTCTCACTATGTAGTTGAGACTGACCTGGAACTCACTATGTAGCTCAGGCTGGTCTCGAACTCACAGTGATCCTCCTGCCTCAGCCTCCCGAGTGCTGGGATTAAAGACGTGCACCACCATGCCCGGCTTGGTTGATTTCTTGACAGCAGCCATTCTTTCTGGGGTGAGTTGGAATCTCAGTGTTGTTTTCATCTGCATCTCTCAAATGACCAGTGATGCTGAATATTTTTTTTCATATGTTTACTTGCCTTTACGAAATGTCTGTTCATTTCAGGTTCCAATTTTTGAATGGGGTCTTTATATTTTGGGGGTCTGATTTTTTTTTTTACATTCTTTACATATTTTAGATAGTAGTCCTTTGTCTAAGGAACAGCTGATAAAAATCTTTTCCTACACTGTACATTGTCTCTTAGCTCTGCTGGCGGTTTCTCTTGCAGTGCAGAAGCTTTTTAACAAGATGAGATCCCAGTTGTTGATTCTTTGTGCTAGTTCCCATGCTCCACATTATTTTTCTATGCATTAGAGTTCTCTATGTTCCAGGGATGCAGAATATGCCAAATGCTTGAAACAGAAACAGGGAGCTTTTGGTATCAGTTATAGATTAGAAGAAGTGGATTTTAAATTAAACTAAATAGGTGCATATAGACTTGTGGTTACCATACCAGATAGTTAGATCTAGAGTTTGAGGAATATTAACACTCACTGCTGTGATCTGTCTTACCAGTTTCCCAGCATCCATAGTTGCCTTTAGCTTTTTTCCCAGCTCTGAGCCAGAAGCTACCATGGCCCTCAGCATGTCTCCAGTGGCCAAATGGCAGATGCAGAAGTTTTCAGCTAATTTGGGTGCCTATGGAGAAAAACAAAAACCAAGGTAGAGTTAGCACTGCAGGCTCTAGAGTCAGACTGCCTAGGTGAGAACCTGATCCTGCCACTTACTGGCTGTATGAACACAGGCAAATTCCTCCTTATTTACTTGTAACAGGGATAAAAGTACCTTATGTTTTCTCTCATATAAAATGATTATAGAGTTATGGCAAAAAAATATGTGAGATAATACATGTAAGTATTGTACTTAAAAGAGTATACCTAGGGCCGGGGATTTGGCTCAGTGGTTCTACCATCTGCCTCGCAAGAGCAGGTCCTGAGGTCGATTCCCAGTACCAAAAAAAAAAAAAAGAGTATACCTAGTACACAAGAAGCCATTATAAATATTAGCAATTACCACTACTTCCACTGGACACACTAATGACATAGATACCTAGTTTTCTTATTATAAATAAGAAAAAAAGCAGTATTATCAACACTACAAATTTGCCGTGAAGTTTAAATAAGATCATATATATATAAAGCACACATATATGGCACAACGCCTGGCACACAATGTGCTATTTGCCAAAAGAATAGAGGCATCGCAGGCTGCAGCCACTGGGCATGGCAGGGTGAAGAGCTGGGTTCCTTCCCTTCCTTCTTACTGGGTAGCTGCACTACACTGGCCAAATCACTTCACTTTTCACAACCAGAGCCTTCTCATCTGTTTAACATGAAGGCAAAAAAGGCTGCATGTGAGAAGATGGCTGTGGCTCAGGTGAGATGTATAAGCAGAGCACTGATAAACAGTAAGCACCTGCGTATTAATTTTAGGAGCCAGTATAGCCATTTGGTTAAGAACCTGTGCTGGAGGTCAAACTGCCTGTGTTTTTGACTCCAGACCCATCATTTATTATACACATGACTTGTGAAGTTACTTTACCTTTCCAGGTGTCACATTTCCTCTAACATACGGAGATGGTACTCTACCTATATCACTGGGTTGATGAGAAGATTCCATAGAATGTGGCCTATGGGAGGCCCAGCACACAATGAATCTTCAGTGAGCATTAGCTGATACTATAACACTGGACTTAGTTCCACATTTACTTATAGAGGAAGAAAATATTTGCTCATGCCTCTTTTTCTTTTTGTGGTACCGGGTATTGAACTCAGGTCCTTGCGCTTGCAAGGCAGGTGGCGGAACCACTGAGCTAAATCCCTGGCCCTGCTCATGCCTCTTAAAAGAACACTGTTGGGAGCCAGGGACACAGAGGAATTGGAAACAAAGACTGTGTACTCCAAGAGCTCACAGTTTGGTTGATTACAACTCAGAAGGCAGAATCAGAACAGAAAGCAATCTTAAGACAGTTCAGCATTGATTTTATACAGCAAAAAAGATGCAGAATTCACAGGGAGTTGAATTGCTTTAAGGAGCTCAATACTTAGCTTTCTGGTTCAGTTGTTTTGAAAAGTAAGTGGTTTGGATCACCGTTTAAACCATTTTGTTGGGAGTTTTCTTAAGTGCACATAATAAAAGTAAATAGATGGGGTTCAGTGGAGGAAATTCTGGTTTATGATTCATGGATTGATTCAATTCAAGCAGAGAAATTACTTTATAGCAAAATGGGATCCAGATGGGAAGGCATTAAAAACTACACTTTGGGTTGGGTGTGGTGGCACATGTTTATAATCCCAGCTACTTGAGAAGCTGAGACAGGAAGATCACAAGTTTGAGGGCAGCCTGGGTAACGTAGCAAGATCCTTTCCCCCCAAAAAAGTACAGAAAGGCTAGGAAATAGCTTAGAGGTAGAGAGCTTGGGACATGAGGCTCTGGGTTCTATCTAGAATCCTGCAAAAATAAATAAAAAAGCTCTGTACCTTGAAAAACAATGAAGGTCAAAATGCTCTGGCAATGGAAAACCAGGCTGGCACTGTGGCATACCCCTACCTTGGTTGTTAAAATTAACAATGTGGAGATCACGTTTGTTATGGGGAAAAGTGACCAAAATGCCACAGAGAACCTAATAGTTCTATTTTCATCACTCCTGAAATGCAGGACTCTTACACACCATTCAAAGTCATTGGATTCTACAGCTGCATATATAGAACACACACCAATAGGGATGGATGTGGCAAGTAAAAGCCTACTTCCTGCACTTCCTGCTAGCTGTATGGAAGCCCTGTGGTAGGCTGTAAAGAATATGGATGGGCTTAAATCCTAAGGCACTTAACAGCTACATGACATTGGGTTTGCTTTCTTAACTTCTGAGTTAGTTTCCTCATCAAATGTGGATAATGGCTATGTCATTGGGCCCTTAACAGGAAAAATGAAATATATTACCAAAACATCAGACACACAGTATACATTCAAAAAATAAGATTTTTTGTGATCTTTCTTTTGGCCTTACTCTCTACTTGCAGACTGCCGAAGTGTGATGAAATAACGCTTATTATAGTCCCATTACACTTCAAACTTGCTTCAGAGCAGCACCTTGGAGTCTAAATCACTTGGGGGTTAACACACATTCTGATTCCAAAGGGCAGGGGCAGAACATATGCTTCAGTTTAAGCAAGCTTTTAGGCTTGGATGGCTGGCTGGCTGTATAACTGCACTCTACTGCTGGCGGAAAACTGTTGCTGAGCTCAAGGATCAGGTCTGTCATCTCTAGGAGAATCTGCCAAGGGTGGAGGACTTTTGGGGGGAAGTGGGTGAGAATGGCTAAAACCACCAGAGACAGTACGGTGGGGCTTGGCAGTTCTCCAACTTCAGTGTTCAGATGGACCCTGACACACAACAGCCTGGCTTACAGTTTTTTAATCGTGATGGTTTTAAAGAGAAGGGCATTCTAGATTTTGATCTTTCCCCGGCTAGCCAAATGTGATAAGCTACTCTTTTGGGATGAGGGGCAGAAATAGGAGCTGCACTTCCTAGTCAGCTATGAAATCATGAGGGAAAGCAACTGATACTCTGCCACGCAGAACTGTGTTGACGAGCTATGTTTGGTAGGTTGGATGCATTAAATGCATTTTCAATTTATGACTTAAGATGGGTTTTATCAGGATGCACCCCCACAATAAGTCAAGGAATATCTTCGTTATCACAATCATCTGAGGTATTTAAAATACAAATGCTATGCCTATCCTAAGCTTAAAAGTTCTCAGCTAGTGACTTTTTTTTCTTTGAGATGAGGGTCTCATTATGTTGCCAGGCTGGCCCCCAAATCATGAGCCTCCTATCTCATTCTGGGATTACAGGTGATCACTGGTGTGCTGGGCTAGGTAGTGCCCTTGGATTGCTTCTGTTTGTTTTTGTTTTTGGCAGGGCTGGGGATACAGCCCAGGGCCTCATGCACAGTAGGCAAATGCCTCACTGCTGAGCTACACCTCCAGCCCTGCTATGGGATTCTGATGCAGTCTGTGAGGTTCTGTGGCAGTGGCAAGATGGTTTTACAGTGGTATAGACCTTGGGTTGGAAACCAGATTTTTTTTTGTTTTGTTTTTTTTTTGTTTTTTGAGACAGGGTCTCACTATATAGTTGAGACTGACCTGGAACTCACTATGTAGCCCAGGTTGTGCTTGAACTCACTGTGATCCTCCTGCCTCAGCCTCCCCCAGTGCTGGGATTACAGGCATGCACCACCACGCCTAGCTTGGAAACCAGATTCTACCATGTACTCTCCATTTTATCTTGAACATGTCCATAACCTCCCTAAGGCCTCAGTTTCTTTATTCAGTTACAAATAATATCTACTTTCAGAAATATTGTGGGGATTTCATAAGATCATCTATGCAAAAATATCCATTAGTGTCTGGTACTAGGAAACAGAGGGAAACAATCAGGCCTCCCAAACCACCTGGCTTCTCAGCTCACAACCGTCTTTACTCTTTCCCATTACCTTGAATGCTCCTGCATATGCAGCTAGAAACATTAAAATGCTTCTGGGCACACCACTAACCACAACACACATATATTCAGAAGCTTTCTAAATGCTAACTGAGGGCCAGGGATTTAGCTCAGTGGTTCTGGCGACTGCCTCACAAGCGCAGGGACCTGAGTTCAATCCCTGGTACCAAAAAACAAAAACAAAACAAAACAAAAAAAAACATGCTGAGACAAATATCTGAGCATGGCACTTGGTTATCTCTAAAATCAACTTTTTATATCTCCCAAGCTCTCCAAATTTACGTTTTTTTTTTTTTTAAAAAACCAGGGATTGAAATCGGGACCTTGCGCTTGTGAGGCAGGTGGAGGTACCACTAAGCTAAATGCCCCGGACCTCCAAATTTACTTCTACAAGTGCCCTACCTGTACGCCCTGCACCATTCCAGACATGCTGCTCTGACAGATGGTTCCCCTAGATCACAACATAAAATGTCTCTCCAAGGACCTTAGGTGAAGCTCCTCACTGTAGAAGGAGGCCCTCTCCCTTTCCTCTACTGGTCTGAGTTTTAGCCTGCTCTACAGTCAAATTCTGAGTCCATTTCTCTCATCAAAAAAACCTTTCCAACTACTTCTTCTGAGGAATCATATCAACGTCGGTGAAAGATGAACATTTGCCATATGCCAACCAATTTTCCAAGTGCTGTTTTACAACACTTAGTATGCACAATATATAATGAACCCATGGGGTAGGAACTACTTTTCTCTACATTTTATAGATGTAATTCAGAGGCTAAGTTATCCATGGCCTTAAAACAAACAACCCACAGAACTTTAGTGGCTGTTTATATAGGAGTGTCCACAGGAAGATTTCGGTGTGTCAACAGGGGTCTGCATTCTGATAGTGCCTGTAAGAAGTGTGTTCACATTGTAAAAACTCATCAAGCTTAATGAATTTGCACTTTTTCTATGTACACCATACCTTGATTTAACACTTAAAAAAAATCACAGGAACTGTGTCTGGACTTCAGTCCTGCTTCTTCTTCTTCTGTTTTTGAGACAGGGTCTCACTATGTAGTTGAGACTGACCTGGAACTCACTATGTAGCCCAGGTTGGTATGGAACTCACAGCGATCCTCCTGACTCAGCCTTCGGAGTGCTGGGATTACAGGCGTGCGCCACCATGTTTGGCAATCTGCTTCTTAACTTACTGGAGTTATCATTAACTTCAATGGGTAGGTATGAGGTTGAATGGGAAACCTTCAACAAATTATAGTTCTTATGTTACACCTGAACTCATCTGACATTTCTCATATGACACCATCTACCCTCACATATTTTTTGCATGCATAAAAATGATGACTCTGCTTAAGCATCAGAAGACACTAGTTCAAAGGCTGTCTTTACTACTGTATTTGTGCTCTGGCAGAAAATATTGTCTCTGGGCCCTAGTTTCTCATTAATAAAAAGTGTAGATAAACTGGGCATGGTGGCACACACCTGTAATCCCAGCACTAGGGAGGCTGAGGCAGGAGGATCACGGTGAGTTCAAGACCAGCCTGGGCTACATAGTGAGCTCCAGGTCAGTCTCAACTACATAGTGAGACCCTGTCTCAAAAAACCAAAAACCAACCAAACAAACAAACAAACCCCCCCCCCCCGCAAAAAGTGTGGATAACAATAGGCCCTACCTCCTGGGGTTGCAAGATTAAATCAGATGAAACAGAAAGTCCTTATAGTCTGAAGTGTGTCACATAACTAAGCAAAGGGTGAAGAAAAGGCACGGGACAGGAGAAGAATCCACTGGGGAAACAGATAAAGCTCTGGATTTAATACTCACAGAGACAGACAGATGGTGGATGGGAGATCTTACAAAGTCCTAGGTATCAGTACACTGATGATGCAAGTGACAGGTCTAACTTGTAAGTTGGCAACTGACTGCCTAAGTGTAAAAAGCCTCAAAGAATTGGTGTAAGCTGGACACACTGGAAACATGAGGAAGGGCTGGCAGAAAAAACAAGAAACACTTTTGGTTTTGGCCACTCTACAGGAATATCTAACTTCAGAAGGGAGAGAATTATTTAAATAAAATAACAATCTCAAGCATTCTATGATGTTTTAAAATATCACGTGGCATAAAAGCAGGCAGTTTTTTTGTTTTTGTTTTTGTTTTTTTGAGACAAGATCTCACTACATAGTTCAGGCTAGCTTGGAACTCACTATATAGCCCAGGCTGGCCTCAAACTTGAGGTGATCCTCCTGTTTCAGCCTCCAAGTGCTGGGATTACAAGCATGTGCCTACCCATGCAGGTAGTTTTCAAATGGCTATTTTAAAGCGGGGAGTTTTCAAAGAAAACATTATTTTATTTATGCCAACATAAAACATAAACTACAAGAAGTGGTCATGGGAAGAAAACAAATATTACTGGGCAAGTATTAGGCACAAATCCATCCTAGGTTAGGGATTCACCAAAGATTGCAAACAGCTGCCAACATGAATGATGATTCTAAGGCAAACCATAGGCGGGAAAGGGGACCATAGGGGACAGGAAAGCACACAGACCATCCCAAGTAACAACACCACCAAGTTGCAAGAGACTACTGACATAGTGGAATGGAGGCCCACTGCCACCAGATCTGATTTCTCAAGAGAAACTGGAGACGTTTCTTTGAATTTTTAAGATAAATTTTACAACTGAAAATACCCAACAGTACACTTATTATTTTGAAAGCTGACAAACCAAGCATTTATCTTGCCTTGTTCAGGTAAATCACATTACTGGATGAGCAAGTAGGAGGGAAAGTTTCTCTTTATGGAAATTTCTCACCAAGAAATGAAAAGGGAAATGATAGAACTGGAACACCAGCGTCTTGTTACTCGCAACGAATTACTGGACCCAGCACTGAACAGCAATGACTGTAGACACTCCAGAGACAAGCAGACATTAGGTGCCTCCTAATGGACAGCAGAGCCAAACACTGAACCCAAATCTCTTTGAGGATATGGGCCAAACTGAGTACTTACAGGAAACAGAGAAGACCGAAAGATGTTAAATATTCCACAAGAATACAAATGAAAATTCCAAGAATGAGGGATAATACTCTCAGAACAAATCAACAACTTCCTTTCAAAAAACTGCATGTTTGAAAAAAGAAACAAAACCATCATTACATTTGTGAGACAACTGGAAATGTGAACACTAATGGCTATTAAAAATTGTTAAGGGCTGGGGATTTAGCTCAGAGGTTCGGTGGCCTGCCTTGCAAGCACAAGGACCCGAGTTCAATCACTGGTACCAAAAAAAAAAAAAAAAAAAAAAAGTTAATATTTTAGGGGATATTATACATATTTTTCAAAAAAGTAATTCAGTCAATGGTTAGTGGCTCTCATTATACCATTCAGTCTTCTTTTGTGTATTCAAAATTCTTCATAGTAAAGCTGGCCATGGTGGTACACACCTGTAATTCTCACTACTCTGGAGGCTGAGGCAGGAGGATCACAAATTTGAAGTCATCCTGGGCAACTCAGTAAGACCCTGTCTCAGAATAAAATTTTATTTATTTTTCGGTGTTTTGAGTTAGGGTCTATGTAGTTCAGGCTGGCCTTGAACTCATTATATAGCCCAGGCTGCACAGCAATCCTCTTGCCTCAGCTTCCTGAGTGCTAGGGTTACAGGTGTGTACCACCACACCTACTCCCTCAAAACAGAATTTTAAAAAAGGACAGAGGATGTAGCTCAGAGGTACATTGTTTGCCTAGCATGAACAAGGCACTGGGTTCAATCCTCAGCACTTGCGGGAAGCGGGGAACCTCCTCCTAAGAAAAAGTTTAGGTGTGTGGGGTGTCTGCAGGCGAAATGCTGCAGTCGTCCGCCACTTTGCAACCTGTGACTTATGTACTTTTTTCCAACTCCATAAAAACACTCATACAATCACCGGTATTCCTTGTTCTCACTATGGAAGGGGAAGTGTATGAAAGTTAAATGATCTGTGTCATTTTACCTTTCCTCAAGTCCCAGCTCTGATCACATCTTCCACCTCACCACACCTTCTCTGACCAATTCCCACCATTCATGCAGCCTTATCAATCAGTTCATAGTTTTCTTCAAGACTTCTGAGTGAATCAGTTTACACTAACATTTACAGAGTTGGGAGAGGGAAGATGTGCTAAGGGGGAAGATATTCACCGAGCACTCATTCTGCCAGGCTGTTATCTAGGTATGCACAGATGCTTTATACCTATATAGAACATAATCTTTCAGTATTCTTGTGAATTCTTCATTTTTCAGGTAAGAACATTGAAGATCAGAAGTCACATAGTTTGCCAGACCAAAAAGCCCTTGTCTTAGCTTTGGGATGGGTTGTCTACAATAGCCATTTCACAACTACTAAATATATCAACTTCAACATAAGCTAAGGAAAAAAAATAGACACATGTGAGCTATCCTGTTTATATTTAAGACACTCACAGCAAAAGCCTGCAAAGTCTTAAACTATCCCTAGGCTGCACAATGCCTAATAACCGAAGGTGGTAGCAAAAGGAAAGAGGCAATGTCAACATCACTGCCTATAAAGGGTACTGGTGGAGCCAAGAAGAATCATCTGTTTATGGAGAGAAAATGGAAAGTGGTCCTTCCTGACCCAGTACACAGAGCCAGAAAGCAAAGTAACAGAAATGACCAAGCTTTTCAGACTTCCCTTCTCAACAAGCACATCAATCTGTGTGTCATTCACCCATTTCCAATAACCTCAAAAAGTGCCAATAACATGTTGACAAGTGCTAGAAGAGTAGGCACAGAGCAGTCCCCATTCACTGAGAAGCCCAGACTTTCAGGAATTCCTTCTTTAAAAGCCTAATGATGAACAAGAGCCCAAGCCCTAGGGCCTAGGAGGCAATGCTAACCTCCAGGCAGGAAAGGGACATTAATAAATCAACCTATGAGCTTCCAAATCCTAAGTCAGATCATAAATCCAACCCTGACCCATGCCCCTTGATGTTCCAGATCTGGAAATGGCTCAGATGCCAAGGGAGGACCCTGCAGTCTGCCAGGGCAGAAGGCAATTTCAGACTCCATTCTTCTGGAAGTCCAATGTTCCCAAGATTCCTTCCAGGGCCTGTGAAATCAATTTAATTAACTCAGGAAAGCCACTTTGGGCCTGTTTTCTTACCTGTTGACTCAGGAAGTCAAAATTTCAAGTTCTCGCTCACCCAAAAGCATTTGAATCATCTTGAGGTGTTTAGCCTTCGGCCATCTCAGATTCCAAATTGAAGCAGACCCTATACACATTTTTAATCTTTAATTTGGGCACTGTACTACTCAAAGGTTCAGACTCAGAACCCACATGGCTCCAGAAGCAGCAAACCAGATCTTTACATCCACTTCCATTTTTTCAGATGAACACGGAGGTCGTTAGGTTTCTCCCATCTGGATTTAAGTGTCAGGGCAGACTGCACTCCTCTTGGCAGTACACCTAGTCAGCACACGCTAGCTCCCACTCCTACTCTGCCCCACATGCAGGTGATGCTCCTCCATCCCCAGTCATTAATCATTATCAAAAAAACTTCTGCCCCTAGTGCCCAGAACATAACCCTGGGACAATTCACTTCCAACTCGCAGGGAAACTAGGCCATCAAGTTTCTTCCTCCATTCAGCCTGTAATCCAGAGCCTCATTCCACCCTCAAAACTCTTCAACCTTTAACCCCTAATAGGCCACCCAACAAGACACTTAAAGCCTGGATCCTTAAATACTCCAAACAATCCAAACTCCCTCTGTGCCCACCCTGCTACCTGACCTTCAATTTGAACCCTTCTCTAAGTACTTTACTAGGATCTGAGATCCTGACCAGGGTCCCTTCTCACTGAGCCCACCGTACGCCCCGGGACGAGGAAAGCGCTTCCGGATCCTCCGTCCGCCCTGACCTTGGAGTTCCGAGGGCTCTGCCGCCGAGCGCGGTCTGGACACTCACCTGGGTACCCTTACCAGCCCCGGGAGGCCCTAGGAGCACGGCCCGGACGCCGTTAGGATACTCAGACTCTGATGCCCGTGCGGTTGGAGCCATGTCGGCCAAATTCTCACCGCCAGCCCCTGCACACCTCCCAAGTCCAGCGCTTCTAGACCTGCGCGCCACGCACGCCACGCAGGCCACCCTCGCTGCTTACAGTGGCCGGTCGCCACGTCCGTCAGCTTTCTACGCCCGCCCCTGAGCGCGACGGGCACTTCAACTTACCAATCGTAAAGCGAGACTGAGGAAAACTACTTGTGATTGGACAGAATAGGTACAAAGTGAGGAAGGGGCGGGCCATCATACTGTATGGGGCGGGGTGCTTTAGGCGCGCTCTCAGATGGTGTGTAGAGTGGGCGGGAAAACGTGAAGGAAGACCAGAGACAGTTTGGGAAGGTCTAGTTCGGTCCTTGACAGTTAGTGACAACTGCAACTCCGTTTAAATCCTACGAAATTGCCTGCGGGACTGTGAATGGTTAAACTCACTCTTACAAAGCAAATTGGCACCGGCTGTGCTGGTGCGCGCCCGCAATCCCCGCACTCAGGAAGCAGGAGGATCGCCGTGAGTTCGAGGCCAGTCTGAACTATGTAGCAAGATCCTGTCTCAAAAAAATTGGCAATATATATCACATAACCTTTGGTCTAAAATTCTACTTCTAGAAATTCAAAGGAAGGACATAATCAAGGATATGTGTAATGTGGAAATCAGTTGCCATATTTACACTAGCCCCAAAGTGCCAAACCAAAAAATAAAGCAACTGTCTAAATGTTGAACAGGGAGACTGGTTAAGTAAATTGCAACAAATTTGCATGCTAGAATTCACCTATTGTATGACTATTTAAGACAAGGGAAAATGTTAACCAGCAGGATACAATATTGCAGTTACAACAAATCCCACTTTTGTTTGATGGCTACAAATGGAGATTTCCGTGTAGTGGTTAGAGAGATGTGTCTACTTTATACACTTTTAGATTTCAAAAAAAGTTCCATAATTCTATACTATACAAATAATGCCCTTATAAGAAAAATAACCTTTTAATTCAAGAAAAAAATATATTTTTTTTTCTCAAGAGAGATGACTGTCTCTTAGGGAAATAATTTCTACAGCTTTTTGGTGTGTGAAAGTTTCTAGCCCCTTGGGGACCTTGCATGAGAGTGTGATTAAGAAACCATTATGTTTCCTCACAGGCCGATACCATTATTTCTATATCCTAGTGCTGAATTTACTAACCCTTCTACTTTATCTCACAGAAGTCACATTCATTTCTCATTTCTCATTTCCACACTGAACTTTTTTTTTTTTTTTTTTTTTTTTTTTTTTTGGTACTGGGGATCAAACTTGGGTCCTTGTGCTTGTAAGGCAGGTCACAGAATCGCTGAGCTAAACCCCCAACTCTCTACAATGAACTTTTACAAGATCTCTGCTTGGTCTTGTTAGACCATAGGATGAAGCTGTGATTGTTATGCCTATTTTCTAGAAAGTAAGATGTGGTCTAGAGATAATAGCAACCAGTCCAGCATTACACAGTAGTAGAATTACAATTAAGACTGAGGATGACAAGCTGTTGCCCATGAAGGCAGGGCTTCTCTGATAGAAGCTTCTATGTAGCCAAAATTCATTTCAATCCAATAAGATTCATTTATTAAGGTTTTCTATGAGCAGAGCAATAGGCAAGGGATGTAGCTATGAGTAACTTTCCCCTTCCACCACCAATAGTTGTAATGCTGCTGACCAGGAACAGGCCCCTTAGGAGGGAAAGCAACTCATACTATGCAAATACACAAAAATATAAGACTTATTCAACTAAAAATGTTGTAGGCTTTGGGGAATAGTAAGGAAATAAGACAGCTAAGTTATATTCTCACAGAATTAACAAAATACCAGAGAACTGTGTGTTAAAAAGTGAACCAGTCTTCAAGGCTATAAAATTAAGGAAACAGTAGGAGATAGGAAGATGAGCAGTCAGCTCAGCCCTGAAAGACTGTATGGTCAATGGAGAGATCAAGAAGCCAGAGGCAAAAAACAAAACAAAAAACCAACAACTCCCGCAAGATCATTAAAATCAGACCCACTGAGGCAGGAGAATAATCTACCTTGCTCTAAAGCCCCGTGAAGAACTTTTCCAAATGACAAGGAACAAATTCCAGGTGGGTAAAGGGCAAATACATGTGTAGAAGAGTCATCCAAGTAATTTAGTTTCTTTTACTTTTTAGCAAACTGACACCCAAAGTGGAGACTTAGCGTGGTAATGAGACATTGTTACATGAAAAGGTATGATAACCCAACACTTTGGAGGTGGAGGCAGTAGGATTGTGACTTCAAGACCAGCTTGGGCTACACAGTGAGTTGGAGATCAGCCTGAACTACCTAGTGAGACCCTGTCCTGGGGCTGGGGGGAGGCAGGATAGGACAAAAAGTACAACTAAAACTGTACCTCTACATGTGATGAGGACGATAAGAAGGATATTGACATCGTAGGAGGAGAAGCGTCTCATTCATTTAGCCACCCAAGTAACTGCTGTTGTCCGCTTACTATTGGATGTTATGTGCCGAGCAATGGACTAAGCAATGTGCATCCATAATCCCATTTAATCCTCACAGCTATCTATATATAGGGCAGCTACTTTATTATCAGGATATTTTTTAAATGGAGGCACAGAGAGGTTAAGTACTGGACCTTGCCCATGTTCACATGGCTAGCCTGTGGCTAAGCAGAAATCTGAAAGCAGATCTGGCTGGCTGGCACCTAGCACTGTCAGGTAGCAGGCGTGGAGCTCACAGTCCAGCAAGGCTCCAACTAGAGTGTAACAGGAGGAACTGGAAGGATGGAGGGGATGTGGCTGTGGAGCAAAGAGCATTTCAAGCTGAGAAAATGCTTGGCACAGCCCCCTAGGAGCAGGTGAGAGCAGGCGTGCTGTGGGTTTTGAGGGAATTGGAAAGTTTCTAGGTCAGGCCCTATGACCAGATTGGTGTTATTTAAGGATCACTTACATGACAGACTAGAGAGAAGAAAAAGAGGTGGACCCAAGACAAGAGGTATTTCTGTAAATGTTTTGTGCTATGCAGAACCAGTAGCCCCTCAAAGATGTCCACATTCTAATCCCCAGAACCTGGGATCATGTCACTTTACATGGCAAAAATTAAGGATTCTGAGATGGAGAGATCATCCTGGATTACCTAAATAGGCCCAGTGTAATCACAAAGGACCTCATAAGGAAAAGAGGGAGGCAGAAGAGCTAGACGAGGAATTTGAAGGGATTTTAGCTACATGAGACCCGTTCTGTACTTCAGACCTCCAAAACTGTAACAAAACATTTGTGTTGTCCCAAGCCACTTTCTTAGTGGTGACTTGTTATAGCAGCAATAAGAAACCTATACAAGTTATGTGGATGTGAGTGATAGAAACAGATTTTGATTCCATTAAGCAAGAGGGAAATTCATTGGGGAGATGCAATTGCACAACCACAGGCTTCAGAATGATAAGAACCAGGGCTACTTTGGGCAATGTGGTTATGAGGAACACATGGACGTTGCTGAGGGAGACATTTACGCCCTACCCCACGCTCTTCCGCATGGAGCGATCTCTTTAAGACCGACACTCTTGCCATTTGCCTTTATCCACATGTCACTCTCCAGAAGAGGAATGACATATACAGCATCTGATTAGTGAGTTTCCAGAGAATGAACCGAGGTCAACTCAGTGCTTCCTTTCTCTCTTCTCACAAAAAGCACTGTCTTTTGTTCTTCTACATTCTCAAGAATTTCTAAGGCCTATCCTTCCTTCCTTCCTTTTTCCCTTCCTCCCTCCCTCCCCTTTTCTCCTTTCTTTTCTTTAAAAATAATTCTTTCTTATGCCAGGCATGGTGGCTCACGCCTGTAATCCCAGCACTTGAGAGGTTGAGGCAAGAGGATTGCTGCAAGTTTGAGGCCAGCTTGGGCTACGTAGTGAATTGAAGGTCAGCCTGAACTACACAGCAAGACCCTGTCTCAAAAAATTTTCTTCCTTGAAAGAGAGGATCTCTTTGCTATGATATACAGACTGGACTCAAATTCCTGGTCTCAAGTGGTCCTCCTGCCTCACTTTTCAAATCTGGGACTACAGGTATGAGCCACCAAGCCCCACACTGTCCACCAGAAGTGCTATTCTCACCGGTGCCCCCTCCTCTGGGCCCTGTGGGAAGGAACTGCCCCTGTTCAATAGGGATAGCCTGGGAAGTGGTGCATGCAGGCAGCAGGGACACAACCACTGTGCAGTCCCAGGGGAAGGCTCCCTGACCTGAGTTCTGGTACTACCTAGGACTAGTTAGAGAAGTTTAATTTTGATATTCTAGCATCAGTCCATTGTGTACCAATGAAGACACATCTAAAACATCTCTGCCAAAAAGAAAAGTGATATTCTGATCTTCCTCTGCCTTACTTCTACAGCTCTTCCTTTATTTGTTTCTAAAGTTGGTTGAGGCCACTCTGAAACCCAACAATTTCTTGACTCATTCCCCTCAAGATTCAGATTTCTGGTTTGGCTTGCATCTCCTGTTTATCTCTTGGTGAAAGTGGAAAGGTCTTCGATTGACTAACAGTTTCCTCAGGACTATTGGGAATGGAGAAGTAATTCCTTAAAAGTAAATGGTGATGAGCCAGGCATGGTAGCGCACGCCTGTAATCCCAGTGCTTGGGAAACTGAGGCAGTAGGATCGCTGTGAGTTCGAGACCAGCCTGCGCTACATAGTAAGTTGTAGGTCAGTCAGTCTCAACTACATAGTGAGACCTCAGGGCTGGGGATTTAGCTCAGTGGTTCTACTGCCTGCCTGGCAAGTAAATGCAAAGACCTGAGTTCAATCCCTGATACAAAAAAAAAAAAAAAAAAAAAAAAAAAAAAAAAAAAAAAATTCAAGGGCCAGGGATTTAGCTCAGTAGCACTGTGCCTGCCTTGCAAGTGCAAGGTCCTGAGTTCGATCCCCGGTACCAAAACAAAAGTAAATGATGACAATTTCCAAAATAAGAGACAAGGGTTTGGGGCAAGCAAAAACAACAGGCATCCCCTGCAGTGAGCTATTGCAGAAGTCCCTGAAAAAGATAACAAGGGCCTAGAATATAGAGGTAGAATTAACAGGACTTAACTCCAGATCAGATGGGGA